TCCCCAAGGCCCCTGCGGCCACGCGAGCACTTCCCTGACTTCTCCCCATCGTAGTCTGTTCCTTGGGTACCAGGGACCACCCTAATCTGCCTTCCCGCCACATCCCTGGGACCACAGCGGGCTCAGCTTTTGCTTTTGTTTCTAATTGAGCATGATATTTTTTAAAGCAGTTTTAAAGTCACAGCAAAATTGCATGGAAGGCACAGGGAGTTCCCACGCGCACCCTCCACACAGGTGGGTACGCGCACTGCCCCTTCGCGAGACGCGGGCTACAGCTAAGGCTGAGGCTGCGTCCTCCAGTAGGGCCAGTGGGGGCAGCAGGAGGGCCCAAGACGAGTCCCACTGGTCTGGGGAGGTGGCCGCGGGAACCCCAGGTTCCCTCTGCCTAGGGCCAGTTTGGGACAGGTCCCAGGCTTGCTCTTGGTTGTCCTGGTAACAGCGTTCACACCACCAGGGCCAGAGGTAGGTGCTGGGGTCCAGGGCGCTTCGGCTTGTTCCAAGCCCCAGAGCCTTCTGCTCCCCGGACACTCATGTATCCAGGGCTTGTTTGCTGTGTGAATGGAAGCTTCCTGGGGAAGGCATAGGGTTTCCTGCTTTGTCTGAGGTCATGGTAGTAAACCGAGTCTCGGGTCACCTCCTGTTTTCCTTGGCACCACTGAGGAAGAACTACACTTGCCCACCCAACCTCACATTTTCCACTGCACAGAGGCCCCAGTCCTCTATGGGCTTCAATGCCAAACCAGAGGCAGGCAGGGTGTCCTTTCTGTCTGCTACAGAAAGGGAAGCTGAGGCCTGGAGAAATGGATGAGGGGCTGAAGAGCCCCATCTGCTGATTTATCTGGCCTTTCCCCTGCTTTTAGGGATGGAAAATCGCTGCCTCTGGTCTGTGAGTCTCAGTGAAGAGACCACAGGGAATGTAAATCCAAGGGCCCTGCCTGATTACACATGCCTGTAATCCCTGTAATCCCAGCACAGGAAGCTGAGGCGGGAGGATCCCAAGTTTGAGCTCAGCCTGGGAAACTTCTGACTTCGTAAGACTCTGTCTTAAAATAAAGAATTGAAAAAAGAACGGTTGGGGATGCGGGTCAATGTGAACAATCCCCAGCCCCAAAAGGGTGCGGGCAGCCTGTGGGAGAGGCCTCTCCCTGTTATTAGGCAGATGAGAACACACTCTTGTCACATCCTGGTCCCCAGATTTGGGTATTCTCCGCCCTGAACCATGCTGGATTCTCTTGCTGGCAAATTCTCTTTTTAAAATAATTCCCACCATGTGTTATGTCTCCTTCACAGTATGTGTTGGCACTGTGCTAGATGCTTCCCAGGAAGGAGGCTGAGCCTGTGACCGGGCTGCAGGGGGACGGACACCAGCAGGGTCCTCACCTGGGCCTCAAGGAAGCCGAACATGTGCTGAGTCTGGTGGTCCATGGTGTGGAAATGACCTGCTTTTATTCTCCTTCCTCCCTCCTCTCCTCTCCTCTCCTTTTTCTTTTCCTTTCCTGTCTGTCTTTACTTCTTTTCTCCCTTTCTTCTTTCTCAGTATTTGCTGGGGTCAGGAGGAATAATTGCTTATCCAGGAGGATTCTTGGTCTTTCTTTTTCTGGCTTCCATACTTTGGATCTTCCCTCTTCCCTATCTCAGGATTCCCCTCCTTTCTTTGCAACAGATCAGCTTCAAATTCATCCAAGGCACCTCATCTCCTTCACTGACCTCTCTCAGGAAGCCGCAGGGAGTGCATCAGTCAGCTCTCCTGCCTTGGACTCACCATCCTGACACCCACAGCTGCGAGGCTCACAGTTTCCGGAGATTCAGTGTATGGTTGGTGGGAACCTCACTGCGGAAGGGCTGACGGAGCAGTTCATGGAGTCTGGGAAGCAGAGCCGGGGAGCAGGCCTAGTGCCCAAGCTCACGCCTCTAGGACCCGCCCAGACACACCCAGGGGTGCTCTGTACTAATCTGCTGGGTGTTTCTTAATCCAAAGAAGCCGACATATCAAGATTTACATATATGAAGTCACGGGGAGCTTATGTGGCCCCAAGGACTCACCAGGACATGCTCTTGGAGTAAATGCTCCCCTGAGCAGTAGCCTACAGTACATGATTGCAAAGTTAGTTTCAGTTATTTATATCCATTCATTCTACCCATCTTCATTGAACTCCTACTATGTATTTGATGGCTGCACATTAGTTTTTTGTGTGAGGTCTTTAAAGATTTCTCACCACCAGAGACACCCTACACCCCTTCCCCAAGAGCATTTCAAACCTTTTTTGACACCATAAAATAGTGGTATTAAAAAATAAATGTAGGGCTGGGGATTTAGCTCAGTGGTTCTGGTGACTGCCTTGCAAGTGCAAGGACCTGAGTTCGATCCCCGGTACCCGCCCCCCAAAAAATGTAAATCTGGCACAGTGGTGCACTCCTGCAATCCCAGCACTTTGGGAGGCTGAGACAGAAGGATTGTGAGTTCAATTCCTGCCTGGGCAACCTCTACCTTTCCAGGCCCCTTTCCCCGCTGTGAAGGATCCAGCTGCGTCTGGCCCTGGTGAGAGATGGGGGCAGAGCCATGGCCACCTGCCTGCCACTCTCTGGGCTTCTTGAGGACTGGATTTGGCCTGTCCCATTCACTGATGTATTTTAAATGCCTAATACAGTGCCTGCTACACAGTAAAAAGTCATTAAATAAAAGCTGGGCGTGGTGGTGCACGCCTGTAATCCCAGCACTTGGGAGGCTGAGGCAGGAGGATCATTGTGAGTTCGAGAGCAGCCTGGGCTACATAGTGAGTTCCAGGTCAGTCTCAACTCCATAGTGAGACCCTGTCTCAAAAAAACAAAAAAAAAAGAAGTCATTAAATAATATTTCATGCATTTTCACTTGTTCGAGAATCATGTACCAAGCCATCATGTGGTGGCACTTGGCTGGTGCTAGGGATGTGGCAAGGACACAGCCTGCACTCAGAGAACCGACACAAGCTCAGGGCCACACAGTCACAAGGAGATGCAGATGGCTGCTGACACTAAGAAGGAAGAATGCTGGAGGGCTCATCTGGACCTGGTGTCAGGGACATGCCAGGAAGTGGTGGATCTGAGTGGAGACCGGAAGGGCAGGCAGCTGGGAGAGGTTCAGGGGTGAGAGCACTGCAGGCAGAGAAGAGCAGAGGCCCAGCCCACCCAGGAAACCAAAAGAGACAAACCAAAGGAGTGTGGTCCTGTGTCCCTCCCACACTGGAGGTCACTATGAGGCACACCTGCGGGTGTGCTCGTGATGTCGAAGCTGCTGTGGCCCCACAGCAGGCTCCTAATCCTCTCTTCTCTCTTGGCAGCTTCCTGCCCACCTCTGAATGCCCCTCCAGATGGCAGAAAGTTTGGAAGCAAGTACTTAGTGGATCACGAAGTTCATTTCACCTGCAACCCTGGCTTCCGGCTGGTTGGGCCCAGCAGCGTTGCATGTCTGCCCAATGGCACCTGGACAGCAGAGCAGCCCCGCTGCAGAGGTACTGTCCGCCTCCTGCCTCTGTGCCAGTGCCCGCCCAGCACAGCATGGGAGTCTGTGGGGGAAGGACCTTTCCCTGGGGCACTGCCCGACTTGAATTGCTGCTCAGCCACAGAACTGGGTTCGCATTTGTAACCGCTCACCTCTGTGTTGAACGCATTTGCTAAACCCTCTCCACCTAGTCTTGCTTTGCTTATGCAGAAATTGAGGCCCAGAGAGGTGAAGAAACCTGTGTAGATCACACATCTGAGAGTAGTGGGGGGATGCTCTGAACCCACAGTCTTTGCCTGGAGCTTATCCACCTGAGGACAAGAGGCTGCCTGTGGTCAGGGACAGGGATGAGGGAGCACTCTGCGGCCACATGCTAGGGAGGCTGCTGGTGTCCTCTCCCAGGATCCCTTGTGTCTACACTGGCACTGGGTGTAGACAGCTCTGGGGGAGACTCCAGGGTATGGGAAAAAGGTTCTCTTCTCCCTGCACCTGGCTCCACACAGTACTTTTTTGATATAGAGAAAAATGAAACTTGGCACACATAATTTATTGGTGCTCCAAAAATGTGTGATGGACGAAAGATTCATGGATATCGGATATCTGCAGACATTTGAGGGCATCTGCTGGGGCAGAATGCATACGCTTTTAACCAGAGTGAGGGAAAACAAATACTGCATGAATACGTGTGTTACAAAGAGCAGCACTGAGAGAGGGTTTTGCCTTTTGGTAGGGTTTTTTTTTTTTTTTTGCTGTGTGTGTGTGTGTGTGTGTGTGTGTGTGTGTGTGTGTGTGCGCGCGCGCGCGTGTGTGCTGGGGTCCTGCTGTGTCCAGTCCTGGGCTCAAGTGATCCTCCTGTGTTGGCTTCCCAAATGACTGGGACGGCAGGTGCTTGGTACTGCACATGGCCAGAGGGGACTTTGCTTCAGTGATTTGAAAGCACAAGGAAGGTGCCGCATCTGAAGATGAGTGTGGACTGACAGCAGATGCAGGGCGAAGCAGCACCGTGCTGATGAGTCAGGCTTCCCCTTCCTGTCTCCCAGAAAGAGCATGGGACAAAGTTGAGAACACAGGCCAATGCGGTCAGACCCTCCTGGAAGCCGGCCGGGGAATGCAGATCACACGACGCCAATGTCTGGAGCTCACTCTTGGCCCTGAGAGATCTCTGACTCCAGCCAAGCCCCTCGGGAGGGACAAGTAGTAGCAGCCGCAGGCACAAGGCACGTTTTATTTTAATTAAGTTGGGTGTCTGTACCTTTAAAGAACAGTTCCCATTAGTGAGTTCAGTCGATTTCTTTCCAGTTGCTCTGCAGAAAGCTGCCTTGCCCCACCCAAGCTGCAGCAGTTGTCAGGGTGGAAACTCGTTTTTCTCATATGCTATTTGTTCTTCCTTGTTCAGATTTTATCCAAATATCTGTTCTTGGTAACATGTATTTAATAGCGAGCATCGTGTGATTAAAATGAAAAGAGTTGATCAGAGAAGGTAGTTAAAAGAATGTGTTTCAGGCAAATAGCTACAAAATATCAAAGGCCTAGAGATACAGTTGTAAGTAGTTGTTTACCCAGCTTGGTGATACATGTCTGTAATTCCAGAACTCTGGGAAACTGAGGCAGGAGGACTACAAGTTTGAGCCCAGCCTGGGAAAATTAGAGTCTTAGGAAAGCCCTGTCTCAAAAACAAACAAACAAAACCAAAACAAAATGAAAAAACAATGGTATGTAGCTCAGTACAAAGGCACTGGGTTCAATCCCCCCTACAGGAAAAAACAAAACAAAACAAAACAAAACCTGCTTGACAAAGATAAGGACCCAGAGTGCTCCTCACAGCCCAGATGCATCTTGGCAGCTTGATGAGGGTCCCTTCTCTGCGACCCTGGGCATCTGCCAGTTTCCCTCTTGGCCACGATCACTTTTGTCACACATTAGCACCTCCCTCCATGCAGTGGAGCCTTCAATAGAAAAGCAAGGTCCTACTAGATCAGGATTTGTGAGCTGTGATCCTCAAAGTTTTAGGTGCCCCGAATCACTGAGAAAGCTTGTAAAGGCAGATGCCATGGGCTGGGGATCAAGTTCAGTGGCACAGCACCTGCCTCAAAAGCGCAAGGTCCTGAGTTTCATCTCCATACCAAAAAAAAAAAAAAAAAAGGCAGATGCCAAGGCCTCAAAGACCCACTGAAGACTGAGCCAGTAGCACACACCTGTAATCCCAGCACTTGAGAGGCTGAGGCAGGAGGATCACCACAAATTCAAGGCCAACCTGGGCTACATAGTGAGTTCCAAGACCAGCCTTAACTATATAGTGAGACCCTATATTAAAAAAAAAAAGACCCACTAGTGACTGGCCCTAGAATCTTAGCAGCAGGTACTGAGCCCATGCACCTCATTTTCTGTATCAGCAGCATAGAGTACAACAGGATGGAATCTTAGTTACAGGGGGTTCACTTCAAAGCCGGTGTCAGTGTCAGGGGATCTGGTGACACTGGAAAGAGGTGATGAACCTGATCTGGTGTGGAAGGAAATTATGCATAATTATGCCATTAAAAGCACAACCGGCAGCGGAAGACCCAAAACTCCAGAACAGAAGACAGCATGTGGCTTTTATAAAAAAGGGAAAGAATCCAGGAAGCCATACCAGGTCAGGTTCATCACCTCTTTCCAAGCAGTTGACTGGGGAGAGGGTAAGGGACAGTCACTTCCAGTATCACCAGATCCCCTGACACTGACCCTGGCCTTGAAGTGAACCCCCTATAAATAAGATTCCATCTTGAGGTATCTATCTATCTATCTATCCTGCTGGGGATCAAACCGAGGGTCTCACACTCACACGTACTATGCAAATGTACCACTGAGTACAGCCGCAGCCCTATTTTCCTCTTTTCTTCTTTCCCGAAGGGCATGTTTTTCTTTTATTTTCCTTTGCTTTCTTGAGACAGGCTCTCACTTTGTAGTTCAAGCTGGCATGGAGTTTGCTATGTCACCCAGGCTGGCCTCGAATTCATGGTGATCCTCCTGCCTTCTTAGCCTCCCGAGTGCTGACTGCACGTGTGCGCCGCCACGCCTGGTCCTTTCTTCTCCTTCTCCTCCGTCTCCTACCCTCCCCCACCCCCTCCTTCACCTTCTTCCTCTTCTTCATAAAGTTCTTGAATAACATTCATGAGGTTTCATACCCTGCACTGCATGCGTGCACGCGCCCGCGCACACACACACACACACACACACACGCGCACACACACACACTCTAGGAATAAGTAAGTAAATACTGATGGAAAAATTGACTGGCTGGCCAATTTACCAAATGACTCATTAAATGAGTGAATGAATGCATGAGGGACTGTGTGACTTTCTTTCCGGTCTTTTATGTAAGTGCGTATAGGATATGCAGGTTTCACATGGTGAGCGTTTGATTTGTTCCTGGATCCCAACATTAGCATTCCCCATTAAAAAGAACTTTTCATGGTGTTGCTGTATTTCCTCCTAAGGGCTATTTGATGATTTATTGCACAATCTCTATTGTTTCCAGGTTCTTTAATCATACATAACATCAAGTGTATTAAATATTTTCCACTAGAAAAACTCCAAACAAAAGTAGAAAACAAAAACAAATAAACAAAAAAGTAGAAAACAATAGAATGATCTTATTTGTTTGTTTGTTTGAGACAGAGTCTCACTACATAGTTCAGGCTGGCCTTGAACTCACAGCAATCCTCCTGCCTCAGCCTCCCAAGTACTGGGATTACAGGTGTGCACCCCTACACCTGTCTAGCAAACTGATCTTACATACCTCAAACCCTATCTAATGAGGATTTTAAAAAGTCTTCCAATTGTCTCACATACTTTAAAAACTCTGTCTGAATTGGGGCCTAAATCAGGTTTGTAACTTATAATTGGTTGGCACATTTCTTGCATTGTGGAAGTGTTGTTACCTTGCTCACATGTCTTTCTAGTTGATTCCTAAAAAACTTGGGGACAGCCAGGCATGGTGGCACATACTTATAATCCTAGAACTTGAAAGGCTGAGGTAGGAGGATCACCATGAGTCTCAACTCCCTCACCAAAATAAGAAAGAAGAAAGATAATTTGGGCCCATTTTTTTAAGTTCTTACCCTGACAAAACAGTGTGCTGGATGTCTGTTTGATTTGATATTAAATAGCTGTTTCATATTTTTCCTTTCCTTGAGTCCTGAATAGGTTACTCTATTTCTTTCATTTTGTTTGGTACCTGGGATCGAACTCAGGACTTTTTGCTTTTGAGGCAGGTGCTGTGCCACTGAGCTAAATTCTGGCCCTATGTCTTTGACTTTAAACTCATGCTACTGTTTCCATTAGAAGCAGCTTGGTCTTTTTGCCTCGTCACCCAACAGCATCTCTTCTCTTTAAAAACCAATTATTTAGCTGGGCATGGTTCATGCCTGTAATCCCAGCACTCGGGAGGCTGAGGCAGGAGGATCACTGTGAGTTCGAGACTAGCCTGGACTACATAGTGAGTTAAAAAAAACCCAAACCAAACCAAACAAAAAAACAAAATAATAATAATAATAATAATAATAATAATAATTAATAATAATAATAAAAAAAACCAATTATTTGCCCAAGATCTGCCTTGGTGCCAGCCTTTCTGTCCAGTCTTTTCAGCAGTTGGATTCATCTCTCTAATAGGAAGTTTCTATGGTGGAACCCTCAAAACTTTTTCAGTCAAAACCCTAATGTTGAGGAGACACTACTGGAAAGAAAGGAGAATCCAAACTGAGCAGAAGGAAGAGGTACAAGCGGGGAGATGGTCACTCAGACAGGTGCATAAGGGAGGCAGAGCTGAGAAAGAGGAGCCCTGATTTCAGCTGCATTGAAAACGCAATGAAAGTGGGAATTTTAGAGTCACGAAGTCTCCCAAGTTATATGGGAACAATTATTTCACTTCAGTATGAATGATACAAAAGGTCTCCTGCTGGGCATGGTGGGAACACCAGTAATCAGGCTTGAGGAGTCTGAGGCAGGAGCATCACTGCGAGTTCAAGGCCAGCCTGGGCTATACACTGAGACCCTGTTTAAAAAAGAAAGAAAGGAAGGAAGGAAGGAAAAGGACTTCTCTTCTGTCAAATCCCATAAAAACTAGTATAGGGCAAAAGAGAATAAAGTCTCTATACACAATGAAGAAATGCCAGAGAAACATGTCCACAAAACAGATGAAAACAGTAATCTAATATTTTGAAACAAGATAAAAACTGTAAGACAGCAGCATGCATAGAAGTGAGAAAACCTCAGAAGCAAGGTGGAGAAATAGAAAATGGGAAACAAGATAGCAGAACCCAAGAAAGAACTGGAGGGGAAAATCAGCTCATGCTGGATTTCATGGGAACAGGAAGTGCTCAGAACGCAGTCAATTAAAACTGGATTACAGGCCGTGACTTGACCGTCAGCCTCTCCTGCAACCTCTGCATTGCCCTTTTCACAGCTCTGAAGTCACCGTGCATTAGCTACATGCCATAGCTGGGGGCATGCATGACTGCAATGAGAACTGTCTTTGGATCTGGACACAGGCCTGGTGCCAGACTGGCCCTTGGGCTGCTCAGCACCTCAGCTGCCCATCAAGATAAGACCGATGGAGTCCTTGTAGAGCACATCAAGGCATGAATGTCGGGCACATCCGCAGAGAGACCAAGAACCCCATCCTGGGTGCTGTGTTTATTCTTGCCCAGCCCATGATGTCCAGCTCCACCCACATGGTACAGGTGCAGGCTCTGGTCTTCCCCAGAGGGCCCCAGAGGAGAGACCATGATCCTGGCCTGCTGGGACCAAGTTGAAAGCTACTGGTGTCTGCGCTTTCTGGTTCCCTGTTTGCAACTTCACAACCTCATATCTGCCGGCGGGACCCATGCACACAGGACTGAATGTGGCTGCAGACAGTCCTGGAAACCAGTGAATGTGAAGTGACAGAGGGAAGAAACAGACAGGGCTCTTTCCCTGGGGTGGCGGCTTCCCTAGACCACCTGGGTCCTTACAGACAAAGAGAAACCCTGCAATGGGCCGCATAATGCTGCAGGCACAGGGGGCTTCAGTGAAGCCAAAGTCCCTTCCCAGCCACCCAAAGTGAGGATGTGGTTCTCATGGGAAGCGAAGTACCTGCTCCCGCCTCACAGGAGTCACAACAGGAAGTAGGGCACTGGTACCACCCAGGAGATAGTTTCAAGCTTCTATCTGCCCCCCACCTCCCGGTGCTGCAGCCATTTGTAAATGTTTATTATGGAAAAATGGAAGAATATAAAACATCTTGAATAAGCACAGAAAAACACTTGTAAGCCCAGCACTCAAAAAAAAAAAAAAAAAAAAAAAAAAAAAAAAAAAAAAAAGAAAGAAAAATGTTGAGCCTTTGAAATATGCATTTCTGGGGAGCTGGGTATGATGTTGCATGCCTGTAAGCCCAGCACCCAGGAGGCTGAGGCAGGAGAATCACTGAGTTCAAACTGTTTTAAGAAACCAACTAAATAAATAATGCACCTCTGTCTACGGATAGCTTTCCCACAGAACTACCATGTATGAGCAATGAACAGTTCCCTTACTTTTGTTTTTTTGTTTTATGAGACAGGGTCTCACTATGTAGTTGAGACTGGCCTGGAACTCACTATGTATCCCAGGCTGGTCTTGAACTCACAGCGATCCTCCTGCCTCAGCCTCCCGAGTGCTAGAATTATAGATGTGAGCCACCACGCTCAGCCTACAGCTCCCTTGCTGATGTTAAGAAAATGCCAACCAACCCCTCCCTGTGGATCACAGCAGATCTGGATATGAATTTGGAGAATCGCTTTCCTCCATCCCTGGACATACCAGCGGGCCATCCCTCGGCTTTACATCACCTTTAGAGGGGTTTCTACCTATGTGCTGGCTGATGGAGGCCAGAAGGCTGGATACATGGGCCGCATGGGCAGATGGCCCTGGCTGTCCACACCACACCTTGCAAATAAGAACCTGGTGCCCCTGGGTGGGAGCCATGGTGGAGTGCCAGGCCACCTTCTTGCACACAAAGCCTGAGGACACAGCATATACCAGGCACAGGGCCTGATGTCTAGAGAAGCAGCAAGCTGACTCACAGCTCCATCTTCCCCCTTGTAGCTCTTGTAGGTGCAGAGGAGGATGGAGGACAGGGTGGGGAGGTGGAAAGCCTACCCTGGGTTTTTGTTTGCTTTAGAATCAGAACTCACACTGGGGGTTTGGCTCAGTGGTTCTGCTGCCTCCCTTGCAAGTGCAAGGGCCCCCAGTTTCATCTCTGGTACAAAAAAAAAATCAGAACTCACATGGTTGTGTCTGGAAATCTTTCTATCCCAGAGATCAGTGAGTGCACCAGCCAGCCTTGTCAACACGGTGGGACGTGTGTAGAAGGGGTCAACCAGTTCAGATGCCTCTGTCCCCCAGGAAGGACGGGGGTCCGCTGTCAGCATCAGGCCCAGACCGGTACGTAGCGACTGTGGAGCAGCGGGAGGATATCCCACAGCAGGGAGGCGAGGACCCAAGTCTGGAGTTACCAAATGCAGACGCGCGGAGGCTCAGTGCCCCTCAGACAGGCGGGCTTTTCTTCTCTGGTTCCATGCATTGATATCGCTAAAGTGACCACTTGGCGGAGCTCAGCTATTCTGTGCACCCAGAATTCTGATCCTTCTTATGGAAGAAAACATGAGTGGCAGGACTGACTCCCAACCTAACAGCTTCCAGAGGGGAATTTGGCCCAAATTCCCAGAGAAAGTGTACAAGTGTACTGTGGCTGCCTTTACCTGGGCCGCATTTCTTCTGCCTACAACATCACATTACTTGTAAATGTTTCCATCATACCCTGCACAGTTAGCAGCTACTGATGTCGTCCATAGCGTTTCAATAGCTGGATAATCAGACCCTTGATCAGTGAGTGTACTGCCTCAGCTAGAGGTCTGAGTTACACAAGAGCTGGTTTTGGACATGGCATAAAAATCCAGTATAAGGAATCTGTGGAGGCTGGTTGGGGTTTCCGGACTGACTACACTGCAGCCGAGACTTCTGTAAAAGCATCAGGTGTAGTGGCAAACACCTATGATCCCAGTACTCTGGGAGGCTGAGGCAAACTCGAGCCTAATCCAGGCAATTTAGGGAGATCTTGCCTCAAAAATTAAAATGGGCTGGGAATGTAGCTCTGTGTGAAGGCCCTGAGTTCATTCCCCAGTACTGGAGGGAGGAGAGGGGATGTCCAACTCAAACGTGCCTACTTTGGGGGCAGAAAACCCTGGTGTGAGAGCCACCTCGTCAGGCTTTCGTTTAAACCTTTTTAAATGAAACGCAAACTTTCCACACTGGACGGCCTGTTTTCCATACACCGCCCCCATCCCGTCTGTGGTTTATTGTCTTTCCTCTCCCTGCTCCTGAGTCTGCTCTCTTAGCGTCGGCGGTGTCCTTCTGGGTTCTCCTCCGGCGTCTCCCCGAGAGGGGCCCCGGTAGGAGGCCCAGGGCGTGCACCGAACGCCTCTTCCTCCCACAGCTGTCCCCGAGGGTGGCGTGGCTGGCGACCCCGCCTTCAGCCGAGCGCCCCGCTGCGCGCAGGTGGAGCGGACTAAGCACTGCATCTGCGAGGCCGGATTCCACCTGAGCGGCTCGGTGGCCGGCGACGGCTTGTGCCAGGGTAGGTGGGGCCCGGGCGGGAGGGTGTGGGCTCCGAAAGCCCCAGTCGGAGGCTCGCCCTGGCACCCAGGCAGCTCCACCCGGAGGGGGGACTGGGACAGGCAGCCTGGCCTTGGAGCTGTGCGGGGGCCTGCACTCGCTCCCTCCTCTCAGCGTTCCTGACCTCTCCTGAGGACCGAAGTTCTTCCCCCAACCAATTCGAACCAGAAGTTCGAACCTGAGATTTGGTCGATTGGTGGCAATAGGTTCATTCTATAGCAGCAGGAGGGAGACCCTCCTACTTCATCCCCAAAGATGAGGGGACTCAAAGCCAGATCTGCCCCTCCGCAGGGTCTCCCCAGTCAGACAGGCGTCCTCTGGGGTCTGTCGTACTCCCTTCCTCCCGCTCCTCCTGTCGGCCCTCAGCGCCCTCGGCAGGGGAGAGAGGGGCGTCCGGGATCCCCTTCCAGGCGTCCCACCAGGCCCAGCAGCTCAGCCACAGCCCCAGAGACCACAACCACCTTGGACCGCAGCCAGTCCACTGGGCTGCACCGCTCTGGAGTCAACGGTGGCGCTTCCTTTCCCAGATGTGAACGAGTGTGAGCTGTACGGGCAGGAAGGGCGCCCCCGGCTCTGCATGCACGCGTGCGTGAACACCCCGGGCTCCTACCGCTGCTCCTGCCCCAGCGGGTACCAGACCCTGGCTGACGGGAAGAGCTGCGAGGGTGAGTGAGACGGCATCAGAGGCAGGGGCCACAGGGCGCCTCCACACCTGTTTCCCTGCTGCTGTCCCATGTCAGACCCCATGGAAGGTCGGGATCCCAGAGAGGCATTCTGCTGCGTGTCTCTGTAGCACTTCTGCAGATCCCCATTCCACATGATCAAGCAAGACAGTTCCTGCTTTAAGAACCAGCGTGTGGACAGCTGCATTCTTGTGCCTGTCCGGGCCTTTCATGTGGTTTGGTGGTGGGGGAAGCTGGGGGGGGGTTCACCCACGTCTTGTGTCTGGTATTTCAGATGTGGATGAATGTGCTGGTCCGCAGCACATGTGCCCCCAGGGGACCATGTGCATCAACACTGGGGGTGGCTTCCAGTGTGTCAGCCCCGAGTGCCCCGAGGGCAGCAGCAATGTGAGTTATGTGAAGACGTCTCCCTTGTGAGTACAGCAGGGCCCCCCTCACCCAGGCCTAGGTGTGGCTGAGCTGGTGGCTCTGGGGGAGGGTATAATTATGTCATCTTGATGACAGAACAAGAGGGGCTGGGAGCTGGGCATCCAGCTTCTCTGATCTTCCATTGCCTTTGAGTGGTTGCATTTAACGTATTGCTGCGCTGGTACAGTAGGAATCCAGTTTGCTCCAGTGAGAGTGATGTACTGAGTACTCCCTGCCACCAGAGGATAAAGGGATTGCAGGCATCCCAAGGTGGCACCCACTGCGGTCACGGTGCATTATATCCCTCTGCTTTTCCAGTGGTACTAGAAGGTTCGACATCTGGTACCCTCTGCACTTAGTAAATAAAGTTGTTGTTTTAGAGGTTGAGAGATGGGCTTTTAAAGGGAAATAACTACAACTCACGTAAGGCACATATACTCACTTCTCAAAAAAAGATCCTAAGACTCTAGAGATGTCTCTAAAATGAAGAGAACTGAATTCATAAATAAGTAATTTAAACTGTTGTTAGAATTAAGGCAGATTAGAAGTAGCAAGGAAGTCAGAGGTACCAAAGAGTGGCAGTTAATAGAGAGACTGAAGACCTGGAACCTTCCTCAAGAAGTCATTTAATGAAGGGACAACATAGCTGTAGCAGCCTCTGAGGACATTAGACTAGTGTCCAGATGTGATATTTGATCTGCATAATCATGATAATGCAGAGTCACCAAATAGGGTAAATTATAGTACTTGTCTTCTATCTTTTAGAAGGTAGACAAATATCAGAGCTGTTTGTATGACCCTCTGATTCCAAATGGTTAAGGAAGACAAATGAGTTTTGGAAAGTTCACCACTGGGAGGGCACACTGCAGGATGTTGGAAGCTATCTGCTAGAGAGAGGTCTTAGCCCCCGCAGAAAGGGCACCTGGCTCAAATACCAGCCTCCCTGTCATTATTTAACTCCCCAGGCTTTTGGCTTTCTGTGAAAACTATAATAGCAGAACATATATGCATACATGCATTTGCACATGCATGTGCACAAGTGCACACACCCACCCGCCCACCCACAAACGTGGGTTGCAGGGCCCCTAGGACCAGAAGCAGCACTTCTTCCTCAGCCATGCCTAACTCCAGCCACATTCATTGCCCACAGCTCCGGAGCTCCTGGGTAGGGAGACGTGGCTGGGGAGGTTCACCCAGGTGGCCACTGCAAGGGGGAAGATGGGGCAACCCCTCTGGAGCTTCCACAAATCTGACTGCTTCCCTTTGGCCTTTGCTCCAGCCAGTGTGAGCGAAACCCTTGCCCCATGGACAGCAGACCCTGCCGCAATATGCCCAAGACCATCTCCTTCCATTACCTCTCTCTGCCCTCCAACCTGAAGACGCCCATCACGCTCTTCCGCATGGCCACAGCCTCAGCCCCCAGCCGACCTGGGCCCAACAGCCTTCGGTTTGGGATCGTGGGTGGGAACAGTCGTGGCCACTTTGTGATGCAGCGTTCCGACCGACAGACAGGGGAGCTGATCCTTGTCCAGACCCTGGAGGGACCTCAGACACTGGAGGTGGACGTTGACATGTCGGAATACCTGGACCGTTCCTTCCAGGCCAACCATGTGTCCAAGGTCACCATCTTTGTGTCCCCGTATGACTTCTAAGAGTGCCATGGGAGCACAAGGGTGCAGAGATCTGGGCTGATTTCTCTTCCCAAGGTCTCAGCTGAGGACACAGACTGTGACAGACATCTCTCCCCTCTGCCTGGTCCTTGCCCACCCTACCGCTTGCCCAGGCTTCTAGGGCAGTGTCACACCATCCCATGCCATGGGAGGACACAGAAACTCAAAGTTCCGCCATCATGGTTTTTCAGAACACTGTGTGAGTGAGTGGCACTGTGACTTTGAACTAGCTGGGGAGGGAGAACTGGGAATGTGTACCTGAGATAATGGCCAGCCACTCTGCATTGTTATAGCCAAGGCTTATTATGAATGAAGTGCTTTTAGCTATGCTGAAGGTCCAGTCATGCCTCTGTGTGCTTATGTAGGAGGCGATTTCCTCCCATGCCAAGCATGTGGTTCTTGTCCATATCCTTTTTGTGACACACCTGCCAGCCTTCTGAACAGAGAGCCGTGGGAGGGCCTGTGAGCCACACACATCCCGCAGATGCAGGAACTGACACGAAAGCTTGGATTCTGCCTGAACTACTTTCCTTTGGGGAAACTGTATCTCAACAACATAACCTGGTATTATAAGTAAAGAAATAAAGCTGGTCACTCCTCCCTGTCCCTCTGACTTCTCCCTGAGCAGGAGACAGCCCAGTTTCTCTGAGAGGGGTTCACTGCTCTCTTCCTGTCTGGGATGGACACACCAGAATAAACGAATAGGAGAGCACAAAGGTAACGTTTGGGATTGTGCCACTAGTCTGAATTTGTCTTGGCCACATGGGAGATTGGTAAGGACATCTGGCTATGGGAACTTTAGGAAAATGGTCAAGTTGCTATTGATCCCTTGGCCTTCATCTGATAAAGAAGCCAGGAGCAGATGACTGAAAGAGGAAAACTCTGGTAGAGCTGAGAATAGGGTGGGGTTAGGGACTGTTCTTGTTAAAACATCACAGCTGGCTTCATTGTGAGAAATGGAATTCTTCATACTCAAATACATGTTAATCTACTGGGGAGAATTCCTCCCATACTTTATTTTAAAAAGCTCATTTTTGTCCTGGTATGAGGTGGAGGGAAGGAAGTGTGTCACCCGCTGAATGATCAAACCTCATTTGAGGATGGTTTCCAGGATGGTTTATCCTTGTCCTGTTTTGTGGGAGAAAGGAGGCATGGTCAAGAGTTGTTTTTTAAAATTTTCTCTTGGGCTGCGATTTAACTCAGTACTGAAAAGAAAATTTTTTTTTCTCTTTCCCTCGGCTCAGCTGTGATCTAACAATAGAACAAGTCTTCAAACCTGCTCTTTTGGGGTTGTTACACAACTTATTAAGATATTATCCGCTTTATGTTTGGTGAGTCACACCCTGTATACCACCTGATCCATTGTGCAGACCACCAGTTGGGAGTGTCCAAGGGCTTGACCATGTTAGTGACAGTGAGATGTTACCACAACAGACTCTTCTTTCCTGCTTGGGATGGGGGTGGTTGGGAGGGTCAAACCTCTCACCTCCTAGCATATGGGGAATAGTTTGGAGGTCTACAGAATAGGTGACCCATCTGAGCTGGTATGTGATAATTCTCATACCAAACTGAACCAATCTAAGACAATAACTTTCATCACCAAGATCTGTTACCATCAAACCCACTTCCAATTTGTGAAATCATACACTGATTCCACAGCCCCCATAGCACCGAAAAAAGAGTGCCTGAATTCTTGGGAAGCCTTCTTATGGATCACAGCTGAGACCTTCTCCTCTGGGTTATATTTTGCTATCTATGCTTCTGTTAGTCATTGGTCAGTTACTGTAGCAAAATATCTGAGATGATCAACTTATAAAGTGAAGAGGTTTATTTTGGCTTCCAGCTTTGCAAGGTTGCAGTCCATGATCCATTGCCTCCATTTCTTTGGGTCTTAGCAAGTACATCATGGTTCCAGTGTGTGTCAGAGAAAAGCCTGTTTACCTCATGGCTGAGGACAAGAGAAGGAGAGAGAGAGGTAGAGAAAGAAAGGGTGGGGGGAGAGAGAGGAAGAGGGACACATCAGGGTCCCATGGTGCTCTTTCAGAACCTCCCCCTCCCCCATCACCTAAGACCTTCCCATTGGGCCTCCCCTCTTTAATTTCCTACCACCTCCCAAGCTGGAGACCAGGGCTTTAAGCCTGACCCTTGGGGTACATTCAGATCCATGCTATGTCAGTACTCTCTCTCTCCTTGCTTTTTCCTAGGGAAGCTAACATCTTTTCCTTTTATAGCCCCAGTATGTGCTGGGTCAGGCATTAATTTATAACTCTTTCCAGGTAATATAGTTTCATATTATTAGGGGCTTTAAAGCATTTTATGATGTATAGTCACAGACATTTATAAAAGTCGATAGTATAATGAACCCCCTGCACGAGTCACCAGCCTCAACAATAACGTATGAGCAATCCTCTTTTATCTGCTCTCACCTACCTCATGATGGTGTTGAAACAGATCCAGGACATCCTATCATTTCCTCTGTGAAGATTTTGTTATGTGTCTGTAAGAGGTAAGGACTTTTTATAAAAGCATAACCTCAATAACATTCACACCTACAAAAAGATTCCTCCATACCTGCAAGTATTTAGTCATTGTTCAAATTTCCCTGAGTGACTCAATATGTTTTTGTCTGTTTGTCTGCTTGAATTTTGCCCATGCATTGTAATGTGATGATGGGTCTTGCAAGTCTCCTTTAATCTATAGCAGTGGTTGTTACACACCAGTGTACAGTGGACTAACCTGGAGACTTATTAGAGGTAGAATATTGGGTAATTTACTCAGGAAAAATTCTCACAGTCTGGATATTCCTGCGTGCATCTCTGGTATCTGTCAACATGTTCCTCTGTCTTTAGTGTTTCTTATAAATCAGTAGTTATATCTAGAGATTTACCTAGGTTCAAGTTAGCTTTATTCTGGCAAGACCACATTATTGGTGGTGATAGATCCCTCTCAGGGAGGCAGATATCTGGTTGTCTCTCCTGGTATTTTCAGTACCTTATGATTACTGCATAGAACTATTACTTCATTTTTTCTTTCTTTTTTTTTCTTCCACTACTGGGGAGCAAACTTGGGACTTTGGGCTTGCCAGGCAGCTGTGGTACCACTAAGCTACATCCCTGGTCCTAGAACTATTACTTTTTTAGGGGTTGTGATTAACATTGTAGAGCTATTGTTTTTTTTTCTTCATTTATTAGCTGCTATATTTATAAAAAGAAATAGCCTTTCACCAATTATTTGGCTACCTTGATATCTTGTTTGTATAAGAAAGGAAAGATAGATTAGTGTTTTCTCTGCTTCTCTTTATTTTCCAGTTTTAAAAATGAGGTGTAGGGCCAGGGACTAAACTAAGTGGTTCCGCTGCCTGCCTCGCAAGAACAAGGTCCCGAGTTCAATCCCCAGTACTAAAATAACAATAAAAAAGAAAGAAAGAAAGAAAGAAAGGTGTTTCCTTGGCACCTATCTTTCCAAGGTGACCAGTGAGGGTTTTTTTGTCTGTGTTTTGAGTACATTGTGGACTCAGAGTTGAAGCAGCCTTTGTGTTTCCAGCCATGGCAGTTGCCCTTATTGTTGCTGTCTTTGACCCCTGGAAGCTGCTTTAAGTTGGCTCATTTCTTTGGACCTGACTCTGTACTCTTGCTAGTCTCCTAATTATTTTGTTTGACAAAGTATTTCAAGCATATCTTATATATGTTCTCTCCAGCCCCTGAAGTCAGCCATTTCTTCCCAAGAATCTCTGGTTACTTCTAGTAGGGAAAGTAGGAAATGGTAATCAGAGATTAAGATCTCCCCAAGAGTGGTGACATAGGCCTATAATTCCAGCATTCAGGAGGCTGAGTCAGAAGAATTAACATGAGTTCATGGACAACCTGGACTACAAAGTGAAATCTTGTCTCAAAAAAGACAAAACAACAACAACAAAAAAAGGGTCGGGGATTTAGCTCAGTGGTTTCACTGCCTGCCTTGCAAGTAGAAGAGCCCCCAAGTTTGATCCCAGGTACAAAAAAAAAAAAAAAAAAAAAAA